TTTTGCATGGATTCTGTTGTGTTTCTTGGTTTTGTTGTAAGTGCTCAAGGGATCCGTGTGGATAAGGAAAAGGTGAAAGCTATAAGAGATTGGCCAACCCCAAAGAATGCTAATGAAGTCAGGAGCTTCCATAGACTAGCAAGTTTCTATAGGAGGTTTGTCAAAGATTTTTTTTAATTATTGCTGCGCCTCTAAATGAGCTTGTTAAGAAGCATGTGACATTTAAATGTGATGAAACACAAGAAACAACTTTTAATACCTTGAAAGAGGAATTAACCAATGCACCACTTTTGTGTTTACCTGATTTTAATAAAGTTTTTGAAGTTGAATGTGATGCTTTTAGAATTGGCATTGGTGCTGTTCTAATGCAAGAGTTTAGGCCTATTGCTTACTTCAGTGAGAAATTAAGTGGAGCTTCTTTGAATTACTCTACTTATGATAAGGAACTCTATGCTTTAAAATGAACTTTAGAAACATGGCAGCATTATTTATGGTCCAAAGAGTTCATTATTCACTCTGATTATGAAAGTTTGAAGTTTCTAAAGTCTCAAGGTAAGCTTAACAAGAGGCATGCTCACTGGTTGGAGTTCATAGAGACGTTTCCTTATGTCATCAAGCGTAGGCAAGGTAAAGAGAATATTGTTGCTGATGTTCTTTCTAGGAGGTATTCTCTTATCACTTCTCTTTATGCTAGATTACTTGGATTTGAATTATTGAAAGGGTTGTATGACTCTGGTTGTGATTTTTCCAAAATTTGGCTTTCTTGTGAAAAGCATGGGGTGAATGACTTTTATAAATCTGATGAGTTTCTTTTTAAGAAAGATAAATTGTGCATTCCTAATTGTTCTATGCCTGAGCTGCTTGTAAAAGAAACTCATGGTGGTGGTTTGATGGGTCACTTTGGTGTTGATAAAACTTTAGCACTTTTACATGAACACTTTTATTGGCTTTATATGAGGAAAGATGTCATTTCTGTTTGTACCAAATGTGTCACATGTAAGCATGTAAGCATGCAAAGTCTAAGGTTTAACCTCATGGCTTGTATTCCCCTTTACCGGTGCCTTCCCAACCTTGGGTAGATATTTCTATGGATTTTGTGTTAGGTTTGCCTAGGTATCAATCTGGAAAGGATAGTATCTTTGTTGTGGTTAATAGATTTAGTAAAATGGCTCATTTTATTGCCTGTTCTAAAACAAATGATGCAGTCCATATTGCTGACTTGTTTTTCAAGAAAATTGTTAGGTTGCATGGATTGCCTAAAACCATTGTGAGTGACAGGGATGTGAAGTTCCTTAGCCATTTTTAGAGGACTTTATGGAGTAAGCTAGGAACTAAGTTTTTGTTTTCTACTGTGGCACATCCCCAAGCTGATGGGCAAACTGAGGTAGTCAACAGAACACTTACTACCTTGTTGCGTGCGATAATCCAAAAGAACTTGAAGAATTGGGTCAGTTGTCTGCCTCATATTGAGTTTGCATATAATAGAATTGTTCACTCTTCTACTTCCTTCTCTCGATTTGAAGTTGTTTATGGCTTTAATCCTTTGTCTCCTTTAGATATATTACCATTGCCTTCTAATGAGCAAGCAAATCTTGATGGCAAGAAAAAAATTGAGTTTGTGCAAGGATTACATGCTAAGGTGAGAGCCAACACAGAGAGGAAGAATGAGCAATATGCTAGGCAAGCTAACAAAGGTCGTTGGAGGATTGTCTTTGAGCCTGGAGATTAGGTTTGAGTACACCTGGGGAAGGAGAGATTTCTCGATCAACGCAAATCTAAGTTACATCCAAGAGGAGATGGCCCTTTTCAAGTCTTAAAGTGGATCAATGACAACGCTGATAAAATAGATTTGCTTAATTCCTATGGTAATGTTAGTGTTACTTTTAATGTTGTTGATTTATCCCCTTTGATGTTGCAGATTCGAGGACGAATCCTTTCGAGCAGGGAGAGAATGATGGAGGAGCATGGTGTGATCAAGAGCACAGGCAAGGAGCCCAAACAAAGAAGTCCAACATTCTAAAAGATCCATTACAAGGCATTGGAGGCCCAATGACAAGAGCAAGGACCAAAGCTATGAAGGAGGCCTAAATTGTCTAATAAGAGAGCTGGAGCCTATTTATTTGGAAGAAGCACATTTTAACGAGCCTAAAAGGAGTCAAAAAATGGTGATCACATTGCTAGAAGTCCAACAAGATGATGTACAAGGCCCATGTGGGGTTCAGCTTAAAGAAATCACTTAAAATACTATGTGACAAGCATGTGTCTTGAACAAGGATCATAAGTGACGTCCAAGAATCTTCAAGAAGGCCCATGTGGGGTTGCGGAAGATCTCTTAAGAACATCCATAGGACAGAACTCAAATCATACATTTTATAGTGTTTTTGTAAGTGTCACCAACAGAAGGATTTGAGTCCTTAGGTGGCCTTGCAAAATTAATTTTATAGTTATGAACCCTTGATCAATTTTTCCTATAAAATATTAAAAATATTTTAAAAATCAATTAGCCATGTAATTGATAAATATATTTATTTGTTAGATATAAGAACATCAATTAAATTTTACCAATCTTAGTGATCTACTTTTATTACTTATTAACTAATTTTATCAGTCCCTAATCAGTTTTTTAATTGATTTTCAATTTGTTGACTAATAACTAATTATTGAATAAATTATTATTTTGATTAATTAGTTTTATTCTATATATGGTCATTATTTTGGTGTGACTAGTGTTTTCAAAACATTATTGCTCCTTTTCATTAGTCCTTGTTGCTCATTGAATATCTTCTTCCCTAGCTTCCTGAACATCATTATGTTTTTCTCTCTCTCTTTCCTTAGCAAGATTAATTCTGTTGCTAAAAGTGATCTTCTTATATGGCCTTATTTGGGACACAATAATACTTAATTAATTAGTTGAAATTACCTCTAATCTTTAATATAAGAGCTCATTTGATATTGAATTTGGTCCTAAATATAAGACCCCAATTCATTTTGTCTCTCACATTTATTGATTTTTTTTCAAAGCAATCCTTATAATAGTTGCACAAATATTTCATTTAATGGTAGCTTTATCTAATATATATGATTAGTAAGGGTATTCTGCGAAAGACAACATGTAATTATTATAAATAACTAATTTAATAATTTTTTTAATATATTCAAATTAATCAACTAGCTTCTATATGAAGGCAGTATATTGTTAGTTCAACTACTTGTGTATTTCTCTCACAGTCAGGGAAAACGAATTTAGTGATTGTGGTCTAGTAGACAGAAATGTAAATTACATTTTAATTTTTTTTCATAGTTAAGATAGATGTTTAGTTGAGAAAGTATATATTTTTATCGTATCAAGAACATACAATAATAGAATAAAGAACAGAAAAATTGAAGATTCATCCAACCAAAGAGCAAAACCAAACAGAACAGGTTGAAAAGAGAAAAAGAGAATAATTTTATTTTATTATTTTTTTTTTTGGCCAAAAGAGATTGAGCATGAGGTCTGCCCATTGAAACGGCGTGTTTTCAGCATAAGAAGCATATCTGCCGTTGGTTAGGAGCTAATCTCAGTTGTCAAATGATTTAGAGGTTTAGGGCATTTTCACCGTGGACCCAGGAGCGTCTGGCTCTCCTCTGCTGCCTGTCCACTACCTTGCATACGGCATCATTTCCGGCAAAATGGGGACAGAGCTGGAATGAAAAAATAAGACGATAGAAGTGTTTGAGTAAGATCAAAACTATAGTTTCAGAAATATTTTTACGGTACATAAAGTAAATATACTGAGAAGTTTATCTTGATTCGTGAAAAAATATTTCTGAAAAATGTTTATTTGATAAAGGCAAAAACATTCAAGTGAGAGCAGGAACAACTATTCATCCCTATTTGTGGGACCCACCCACCTCCAAAACATTTTTTAAAAAAAATCAATTAAATACCTTTTTGGCAAAAATTAAATAAGACAAATATACAAAAAAAGAAAGTTTAGCTTTGAGGTTAAGGTGTATATAGCAACTTAAAATATTTTTCCAAGCACATTCAGTATTTTAAATTTTTTTTTATGTATTTAACATGTTGAAGTATTTTTTCAATTGCATCCAACCCTCTAAATACTAAATTATATTTTGATACATTAAGCATCTTAAAGTATTATTTTAGATACCTCCAACACCTAAAATTATTTCTTTGTGCATTGAGTACTCTAAATTGTTAAGTGTAAAATTACATTAAAAATAATTTAAGGTGCTATGTGTACTTAAAAAAATATTTTAAGACGTTAGATATACCTTTAAATTACTTTAGTATGATGAATGTACCCAAAAAAAAATACTTCAAGATATTTCATGCAACTTAGCCTCAGCTTTTATTTTACATCAGCCTTTTAGTGCATATTTTTATATTTCCAAAGTTATTATCATTTTATGTCTTGACAATCATTTGTAAAATTTATCGAATACCGGTTTATAAAGTAAGCAACCATTTAGTTAATCTTTTTCAATAAAAAATAAATTATTTTAAAATAAAATTTTTGAAAAAATTAATATGTAAAATTTTAATAATAATTTTTGAAAACTAATTATCATTGTAAAATTAATTAATCTTAAATTAACCAAATTTAATCCTGACATGTGATTGTTTATTGACATAATAGTTTAAAGTTTTCAAGTTTATAAAATGAAAAAGAATTTGCACTTATTTTTTTCCCCTCACTAAGATCGTGTACAATATTTATAGAGATATAAAAATATCATAAAAAACTGATGTGAAATAGCGGCTAAGGTTTCTATTTTTCTTTAGCTTATGTATTTATCTAATGTCTAATTGATAAAGAAAAATGTATTTAATTGATCTTTTAAAAAATGTTTTGGATGTGGGTGGGTCCTACAAACGGGGATAACTTTACTCAAACGTTTTTGCGTTTGTCTATTTGCCAAATCCTCTTCGTCCTATTTTTTTATTTCAGCTCTCTTCTCATTTTGTTGCAAACGGTGCCGTATGCAAACAGCGGACAGGCGGCGGAGGATAAGCTCAGCGGAGGAAAGCCAGACCCGACCCGAGAAAGGAGCCTCTCGCGTCTCGACGAATCGAGGGGCAGGGGTAGCGACTAGCGAGCAGAAGGCGACGCGGCATAGACGGCTGGAAATCGGTGATTGAGCGCCGGAGATTTATACTTGGTGGTCCAAGGTGGTTGACGGAGGCGGTTATTGGCGGAATTGAGACGGTGACGGCGTGATTGGATAGTCAGTGGCTTGCGGCGTGGTGCAGTGAACTCCTTTTAACTTCAATTTTCTTCTCACACTCAACCAAACTCTCGTCTGTGGCTCTCGCTCATTAAATCAAAAACCTGCGAGGATCCATTATCGAAGACCTAGAGCCTTCGGTATCACTGTGGTGAGTTTAAAATTTTGTTTACCGTTTAAAATATTTTTAGGTGAACTTCCATCAGCATATAACAGATTTGAACCATGTTTTCTGGTTACCCATACGATTAAAAATTATAATTTTCCCTTCTGGTATAAAGACCATATTTTATAATGGAGAATCCGTGGGAAAAGTAGTGCATTGGGCCTGAGGGGCCGATGTTCAATGAAATGCTTGAAAGCCGTAGTTTTTCGCAGTTCACTCTATGAATTTGTAGCTTTTTTGATTCGGCTACTGAAGGAGATAACAATGACTTTCACTGATATATGTAATATTAAAAGTTCATTAGCTAAAGACTGTACTTAAAAGAATGAAAAAAGGTGAATCGGCTTAGTGATGAGGAGAAGCGCTGAAATGCTAATTTTTCAAACAGCTGTTTGCTTATTGTTTGATAGTGCTGACACGTGTGTTTCCGTGCTAATTAACATAATTGCAGCACTTTGCATGGCTGTATTTCTGCTAACACTTTCAACCTTCCTAGGAGTTCTTTATTCCAAAATTTTTCTCTTTTTTCCAGTATAAGCAAAATTTTGTTGGTGACTAATCCCGTTTGAATTAATTTTCAAGTCAATTTTTATTATAAATTTTCGTTTCTGCTATCCATGTTGAATTTTTTCTTGATCTAAGGGGTCAAGCTTAACCGAAGACGTTGGACTTCTCCCCAAACATTGGCGCTCACTCTACTAATATGTTTACATGGCTTGGAAGGAATAAAAGAGACTCTGTGATGTTTGAAATTTAATGTTTTTTCATTGTCTTTGGAGGCATTGTCTAAAAGGATAGTATTCATGTGCTCCATGTGGGGTGTTGGTGATGATTTGATTTAGAAGGTTTGCTGTCTTAGATTTTCCGAGCGATTGGGCTGCATTATTACACTTTTTATCATTTTTGTTGCCTATTTTTCTATGCATATATTTCCTAGATTCTTCTCACAGTGTCTTATTCTCCTTTGGCTATCATCTTCCTTGGATAAAAATGTATTTTATCAAAAAAATGTTTGAATAAGAGATGAAATTATTTGGAAAGTCATGACACCATCGATCCCGTTTGAGCTTGAGGTTCTGCTGGCTGTAATGTACCTTTCTTTGCAATGATTGATTAGGTTCCGACAGTTGCATGCCAGATACTTGGAGAAACAGAAGAATAGCTGCGTTTATCTGAGAGAATCGCCATTATCTAGAGAACATGAAAGTGGAAGAGGTGAATCGGTGTCAAATTCAGGAATGGTACCCAAAGTTTAAATCAGTATCCATCAAAACCATAATTCACCAACTTCCAGAATCTTTTGTTGATTATCTTCTCAACGACTCTGGGCCCTTCCTGTTGCCAGTTTCTGTCTCAAACGAAGACCCCTTTCCCAATCGAATTCATAATCCTGATGAGGAAGAAGATTATCAAGTTTCAGAAGGATCTGGTGATGAAGCTGAAGAACCTCCACCACCACCTTCATTTCCAGAACTTGAATTGAAAGTTAAGGAATCGATTGAATCCCTTGGAGGTGCAGTCTTCCCCAAGCTGAATTGGAGCGCACCAAAAGACTCTGCTTGGATAAGTACCACAGGTACCCTCGGGTGCTCCACCTTCAGTGAGATCGCGCTATTGCTCCGGTCATCTGACTCATTGGTCCATGACTTGTGTCATGCTTATGATTCTAGTGATGATAAATCTTCGTCTAGACCCCAAAACTTCTTCCTTGCCCTTCGCAAGTGGTACCCATCCCTTCGGCCAGAGATGGAGTTTCGATGTTTCGTGCGAGGGAAGAAACTAATTGGAATTTCGCAGCGTGAGGTGACTACTTTTTATCCTTCCTTGCTTGAAAAGAAGAACGATCTCCTTTTACTCATACAGGATTTCTTCAACGACAAAGTAAGAGCTGTATTTGAATCAGAAGACTACACATTTGATGTTTACATTACAAAGGGTGAGAGGGTTAAAATAGTGGATTTCAATCCATGGGGTGCTTTTACACTGCCATTGCTGTTTGCATGGGAGGAACTAGATCAGATTCTTGAAGACGGAGATGGTGTGGAGTTCAGAATTATTGAAGATCGTTGTGCTGTCAGGCCAGGGCTTAAGACGGCAGTTCCATATGATTACTTGGATACTAGCCCTGGAAGTGGCTGGGATAGATTTATGAGGGATGCAGATGAAGAGTGTCATAAACAATCTAGGTCCCCAGAAGCTGGTGCCTGAGAGGTAGATGGATATTTCAACTTGTCGCTTGATTTTTAGATTTGAGTTGGCAAATGGAACTATAAGAAGGAAGCGATTTCTTTGGTTTGACTACTATTTTGGTCGTTTTAAAGATACTTATTTCATCTAAGTTCTGAAATTTATGAAATTAGTCCAAGCTTGTTTGGGTATGCTAATTTGGTCGTCATCTTCTGGTTTTTTGCCCCCCTTGAAACAAAATCATCCCTGTCACCTAAACTTATGGGCTAATTAACTGATTAGTTTGTTAACAATTATCTGATGATCGTAAGGATATGTTTCCCTTTGACACGGACTGACATCAGCTTCTATAACAGTATCCTGTCAAGTTTCAAGTTTTTGTACTTCTGTCTATCCTTGTGTTTGTTTGGCATGGTGTGATGCATATGAATTTTATAGCATATTTAGAGTGAATTCTTGTTCATGTACAGGTTCAAACTTTAATGTGCGACAGCTCATCTAAAGTGAAAAGATTAATGAAAGCATTGCTTACGCGGATTCTATTGATAAGAGAATGTAAACAGAATTGTTCATCATGACTTGTGAAAACCAAAGTCACAACTTGCACATATAAGAAAAGGAAAAGCTGAAACTTTTGTACAGCAAAGAAGAACAAAGGATCAAAAGTGGCTTGATAAGGCTAAAATTTGACACAATGTTTGACAAACATTTTCAGTCCCTTGTTCTTCTTGGGGCTCTCCTCCTGCTGCTTCTTCTCTGTTATTCTCCTCATGTCTTCTTTCCTCCTCCTTTTCTCCCAATCTGCCTCTATCTGCAAACATAGCTTTCATATTATAACATCAGACCTATTAGATCATTATTGTCATACCCTCATCTCTATTCAGCTTCACTAAAGTTAGATACTGTTTTGTATAATAATAATTAATAATAATAATAATTGTGATGACGATAATAATAACAGAGCACTTTTCATTTTAGCTGGCTTCCACATTAACATTATTGTTGCCGCCACCGCCGCGACCCATTAGCATTATTAACTCCTTCAAAAGAACAAAATAGAAATCTGGATGGCATTGAAGGAATCCATTTTTAATTTATTAAGTGAATTGAATAATCAATATGGTATGCAGTAATTGATTAGAATCAAGATTCTTTGCCACTGCTCAATCACACTCTAAAATTGCTGTTCAAATCATTTCTTTGTTTTTTTGGGCTATTACTCCTGTAATTCTAGTACTTTTGAATTTTATGGACATTACATTACATAGGGATGAACTGGAGCAATTCTAGTTCTCTGTTAAGTTTTAATGGTGTTGCATGTATTTCAAAAATTTAGGAAGAAAGGTCTGGGAGAGTTTAAGTTGTAATTAAATTATAAAAAATTCCCCAACAAAAGATGAGAATAATGATTCAATAAAGGATATGAAAGCATTTTTCATATTATATGATGTTTTCTTGAATTTATATAGCAACAAAAACTCCAGGAAAGAAAAAAATCAAATAGAATTTCTTAAATTTAGACTTTGAATAACAATTTTCTCCCTACCTTCAGCATGCGATCCTCCAGATGATCAAGCCTCTCGATCAACGTTCCTTTCACTCCAGTCTCCATAATGACGTGGTCGATCGGACGGCAGTGCTTCTCCAGGCTCTTAGGGGAGAAATCAACGGACGACGCGTGGCCTTCACTCGTCAGTGTGCCGCTTGATGGAGTTGATTCAAAAGAGCTCTTAGGAGATCTGTTGTACCCTCTAATTTCTTCCAATTGCTTCAACTACAACATTTACCCGACAAGATCAATCTCGGCCCAATTAAAAAACCAATGAGTTTAAAATATCAGCCCAACTATAAAACTAGGCCCAAAAGTCTATACTATGGCCCAATTAAGAATCACCCGCATAGTTTCGTTTAATTTCCACTCAAATTTTCGCCAAACAAAAAGAAAAATTGCACTCAAATGCTTCAACTATTTTCTTAAAGGAAAATATTCCTCAAAATTATTTTTTTTAAAGGTCACTTATCATCATTTCACCTAAACTAGTTATGAATAAAGGAAACAGTTTCCAATTTTATTATCTGAAAAATTCTAGTCAAGTATAAGTATATCTAATAATGATAAGAAAAATGTGGTCTGAAAATAGAAGAAAATGATGATTTAATAATAAAAGTTTAATAATAAACATATACTATTTTCCACTGTAAACAAGTTCTTATAATTAAAACTGTAACGAAGATGGTGAACTGACCATGTTATCCAAACGGTCGATCCTAGTGAGGATTGGTTCTTCAGTGGAAGCCATTTTCTGTCACTTTCCCGAGAATATCAAAGAAGAAAAATATTCCGATCCCTCTCAGCCGAAGAGAATAAAGAAATAAGCTTTGTGGGAGTCGCCTTCTTGGATTGGAAGAAGGGAAGAGAGAGAGAGAATGATATGATTCTCCTTTTCGTTTTTCTTCATTCTCATGGTCGTTTTATAAAGGAGGGAGAGAGAGACAGGAGAGGAGAACATGGGGCATTTAATTGGGTGGTACCACGCGTCGTGAAATTACTGTGCACTGAGGATCTCGGATTCGCCACGTGTCATGGTGACGTGGGACAGTTATGGCAGGTTTGTGAATAAGTTGATGTTTGAAGGGGAAGCATGTGATGGACACGTAAAATAGCATGGAGGAGCATGCAGGAGAGTGGGAGTCGCCACGTGTGAATTCACGTGATGGCCTGACAACATCATCTTTCTGGAACTCTGTTCATATCTGGATCCAAGTTCGGATCTGCAGCTCATCATGAAGGCTGGTGGAAGGCTGATCATCAGAGATTATGGACCGTCCATTTCATCCAACTGGTCGAATCACTTGGTGATGAAATCTCATCCTGACCATTGATATCTCATGATATAAAAGCTTGTCTATGAGTTTGAGTTATAATCTCAACTTGCGTGTTCTTACTCTTTTAAATTGCAAAAGATTCACGCAATCTCTCATAAACTAGTATTTTGAGTTTTAGTTGGATAGTATCCTGAACATAGTTATTTTTGCTGGTAAAAGAAAAAAAGAACATAATTATTTTTAATATGAGGGATATCTATATTTAGGGGAAAAAAATCGAAGATTAACATGGACAGAAGATCTTTGCATTGCCCAATAAGGGGGAAAGGAAGACGTAGCAAGTTATGGACCACGCAATGTAGATATAACTCTATGGAATGGGAAACGGATAGGTGCGATTGTTCGGCATCTCTTCTTTTAAGCAAGTGGTTGAAGGTTTGATTTCTAAAGATTTGTATTGGGTGCTCATCAGATTTGGACCATCCAATCTGACCTGGACGATCCAGATTTAATTTTATTTTTATTTTTTTAAAATAATTATTTTAATAGGTATAGGATAAAAATAAAAATAATTTCTTAATTATCATTATTTAAAAATATAATTTTTTATTTTTAAATAATTATTTAAAAATATTAAATTTGGACGGTTCAGATTGCTCATGAGGTGATGATGAGCACTGAATGCGAACGCGATTTCTAACTCTTGTGAATGAAAAACATCTCATGGCCAGTCCCCTAGCGCTTCATGGAATGGAACAATGAATAATATAATGGAACTGAAAAGATAAGACCAATTATTTTGGCACACTTATAATCCTTTTTTCCATTTTAGATAATTTGTAATAGTCTATTTAGGAGAGGGGTAAAATTGCACCTAAAAAAATCATTAATAAAGTTATACAACAAAAAGAAAAATCAGAAGTAAAACTGCATATTTATCCTAATTTCTGTGAAGAACCAGATTTTTGATCAAGTAAGTATGAGTTCAGTCTCTTTTTTTTAAATCATAATTTCCTCAAGTGTAAGTATTAAAATGTAATTCAGAATGAGTGTAGAAATTCAGGGTTTGAAAGAAAAGGAAACTCAATGAAACGAGGTGAAAACATTGAAATAAATGATGCTCCACCATTCTTTTATCATCATGATGGTATCTTTAACCACTTCTACGCACTATTCATTCATCTCTTTCATCATCATGATGAGAGCTCCTATACTACTCACCTGAACTTCAATTGGTTGTCATCTCTTTATTATTTCCTTTAACCCTCTAGAAAGTACTTAATATTATTACATTTATAGTAATTATTTCAGGGCCTAAATTTGTATAGAACTTTATGCTTTGAGCTTTCAGATTTTGCCTCCTTTTTTCTTTTTTTTTGGGCTGGCTCTTGCGAATATAAGGCTGTGAATGAAAAGCATGGGCAGCGGCGTGGGCATGAGATACCCTGCTTCCAGAATTTATGTTTGACTTGGCCACCAGAAAAATTTAAAAAAGGAGAGTATGAAGATTTGCATGAAAACAAAAATAAATAAATAAACAAATAAATAAATAAATTGATGCATCTTCATGTTGGGGGAGAAGATATCATAGTGATGCTTTGTATACATGCGTTGCCAATCCTAATCCCACAACGGACTACAAAATAATTCAGTTGGCCAGTTTACATATATTTTAGCAGTAACTTGTTTAGTATTTTATATATGTACATATGCGTGCGTGTATGTGAGCTTGTGAAAAGATGAAGATAAGATTGATAAAGATATAATTCCATAAGTAGTGGCATCCCATGGAGGTGAAGATGGGCATATGGCTATACGCCTTCTCAAATTCTTAAAGCATAACTTGTGGTTAAATGGGTCAAATTCATCTTATCCTATTTTTAAAGATGTCAAATAAATTCTCAAACCAACTCATCAAATTAGTGGCTCTAATGAACATGTTGCGAAATCTACAATCATTTTGATTATTATCCTCAATTGATCATTCACCAACCAAATAATTTTGTAAGTGGTCGAACGAGGTGAATCCTAGCAATTCCCATGGAAGGGTCGTAATGGGCAAATACAGTTTCTTGCTTTCTATGGCTAATGAAGAAGAAGAAGAAACAGAGTAAGGAACCAGATAATATGCAGATTGTAGACAAAGAAGTGTGATCCTTTTTATCACAATTAATAGTTCCCCCCGAAAAAACAATAAGTTATTTCAAGGTATTACAAAAGAATAGAACCCTCACACAACGTAATTTTAATTTAAATTTCTGCTCTTAGCAACTATAACCTGCACGTGAAAAGCATATTACATGAACAAATACAAGTTACAACAAAAAGAAACAAAAAAGAATTAAGCCATCCAAATACCCCCAAGGCTTGTTTGTTTGTTCTTGATTGAGCCAAGGAGCGTGGCAACAAAAGGCGAGCTCGTTTCCATCTGCCAGTTTGTCTAGCAGTTGATTCCGCATTGCTCTGAATCAGGACCGGTGACTCGGGTCGTGAACGGGTCGATCCGGACCCATAACAAAGAGAAGATGGAGGCAAGCAGGATGGACCAGACCACAACAATGGTTGGCGTGCGGTTCTGCCTTCCCATGAGACCTTTGAGGAAAGGGTAGAGATGGATGATGACCCAGAACGCGAAGAAAAGCTTGCCAAAGAGTGGGCCCCACGACTGGTAGCCACTGTTAATGGCGTAGGAGATGCCGGCGACGACTCCGACGAGGTTGATGATGATGAGGGTGGTGGGTGGGATGAGGAGGGTGGTCCATTTGAACATGTAGAGTTCAGCAAAGTCGCCTTCTTCATCTGATGCCTTGGAGGTGACGGTGAAGTTTGTGTCAATTCCGGCGAGAACTTTGAGTAAACCTTGGAACACGGCGAATAGATGGGCGGAGACACCACCGATGACCCAAAACTGCTCATTTCTCCACCACTCGTCGATTCCAACACCACTCCACCTCATCTCCAGGATACCCGTTGCAAAAATGGAAAGAAAGAGGGAGATAAACCATATACTTGCAATGTTGCTAATCTGCAAGCAAAGCAAAAATCAGTTATCAGTACTCAAGCCCACTGCCTAATACCTCTCCTCCGAATCGTTGGAACTAGTTGAGGAGTGTATTTGCTTTTTAATGTTAAATTTAAGACTTTAAATCATTTTGATTCTCACATTTACTTCGTTTTTTTCTTCCAAACTAATTTATTTGACTTTTTAACGCATAAAATTATATATATAATCTAGTGTTTCATATAGATATTTTAGAAGATTATATCACATTTGTCAGCATTAAACAATTTATTTAACTTTTTTAATTTATTCAAATTAGTTAAGTAATTCTTATATTTAGGAGTGGAGGAGTATGTTGTCAAGACACATGTTGAATAAAAATCATGGAGAAAAAACAAACCTGTGGGATGATGAATTTATTTGTGAGTAGACAGACGGCTGGCAAGGTACAGTACATCAGGAGAGGAATGGAAGTGATTGGATAGATTGTGGTGTTGACATAAGCGAACCTCTCAAGCCATTTGAGCCTTCCACTGTAACCATACCAGATGGGACAGTGTCTACTGAGAAGAATTTCCACAGAACCCAGAGCCCATCGAAGCACTTGGTTCAGACGATCAGAAAGATTGATAGGAGCTGAACCTTTAAATGCTGGAAGCTTGGGGATGCAGTAAATAGACCGCCAGCCCCGAGCATGCATCTTAAATCCAGTGAGAATATCTTCTGTGACTGAACCATAGATCCATCCTATCTGTATAAAACAAGACAAATATTGATGATCCTGAGAAAATTAATATAAACATGTAATTGCATTATATGTTTTAAATAAAACATCAGCCCGAGGCTAGGCTCCTTCACAACCTCCATCCCTTCCTTAGCTCAATTTGGATAAAGACCCATTGATTCAACTACCACCTCAGTTCTTTTGGAATGTAAGTGGGAATAAGAAAGAAAATGAGAATTTAACATAAGAAAGCACCATACCTCAGTTCCCCATTCTGACTTGTCCTCGTAACCACAGCTGATAACATGGATAGCCTCCTTAAGCAGAGTTTCTGGGGTTGCAGACTGAGGAACACCACCATTCTCCATAAGCGTAGACGCAACAAAAACAGCAGATTGACCAAACCTTTTCTCAAGGCTCATTTGTGACATAAGTAGTGTCTTCTCATCATCAAATCCAGCCCCTGCACATAAAATTGCATATATAAGAGTTGACATTTAAGTAAACGAAGTCAACTGAAAGAAATCAATGCAAAATATGCATCAAGAGTTTGAGAGGTACATAGTAACCAGGAGAAAAATGCATTAACAGGCATACCTTCGACTCCTTCTTCTATATCTTCCAGGTTGAAGATGGGCACAGTTGGGTCAACGTTTTTGCCAGATTTTTTCTTGTCTGAGCCTTTCTTGCTAGATTTAGACCTCTTCTTTCGACTTCCACCACAGAGTGAAGACAGCAACCCGGGTTTCTTATGCTTGGGTTTGACGGGGGGTTCATATCCATACAAGGCCGTTCTATTGAAGACGCATCCAGTACCGACATACACAGGTCCTTGAATGCCATCCAAACCTCTCAAGTTTATCTGTCATTCACGAAGAAATGAAAAAGAAAACTCAGTATAACAAAGTAGTTAAATCACTTCCAATACATGAAAAGTATAATACATTCCAACCAAGGAGCAAGGCACTTGACATCAGGAAGAATGGTTGAATATGAATTGTGAGATACTTACATCAAAGAAAACGGTGTTACGATTGGCATATCGATCATTCCTATCAATACCATCAAACCTTTGAGGGAACTGGACATAACAAACATTTTTCCCAAGGTTGGGATCCATCATGAAACACATCGCTTCCCTCAAGGCCTTGCTGTTGTTTATGTAGTGATCACAATCAAGATTCAATAAGAAAGGACCATTAGTAAGAACGGCTGATACACGAACCTGCAACAGTTATATTAATTGCCATGGGTTAGAAAAGAATATAATTGGAGAAAATAACTGGCATTGCATTCTACTGTAATCATGACTCACCAGCGCATTCATGGCACCGGCCTTCTTGTGATGTTGAAAACCTGGACGCTTTTCACGAGAAACATAGACTAAGCGAGGTAACTCATTACCCTCAGTGTCAAGTCCTCCGCTTTGGCCCAAAAACACCTGAAAATAAAGTACGCAATCTCAGCGGTCAAATGAATGAAATACATGCACTTCTTTTTTGACAGATAAGCAACAGATAAGCAAGTCGTCTTAGCTTTGAGAAATCATCCGAACCAAAATAAAGAAACTACCTGGATCATTCCTGGATGGTCTCTAGTGTTGTTTCCAGGCCATGGAGTGCCATCTTGCATTACCCATCCTTCTTCAGGAACCTTCTGTGCCTTTGCAACAAGTCCATTAACACGAACTTTGAATTCTTCATATTCTCTCTGTGAAGCAAGGGAAGACATAAGCTAAATAGATATCCTTGAGGAACTTTAGCACAAGCTAATCACAGGTGCGTAAAAGTCAAACTCTTACCTTCATGGCTCTACGTTCTTTGACAAATGACGGATGGACCTTATCCTTCAAGTAGTCAACCTTCAGTGCAAAGTACCACTCTGGAGCCCGGGGTTCGATGCTGTACTTCTTGCAAAAAGGAACCCATTTCCTTGCAAACTCTGACGTCTCAGCCAGAGCTTCAAATGTCAACATAGCAGCACCATCGTCAGACACATAGCAGGAGACCTTATCAACTGGGTAATCGACTGCAAGAATAGATAGCACGGTATTGGCAGTCACAAGTGGGGGCTCCTTTAATGGGTCAACAGTACTGACAAAAATGTCAACAGCTGCTAGTTGTGACGGTTCTCCTTCTGGTTCATACCTGCAATTCAGATTTTAAGGAAAAAAAAACATCAGAATGAAGTAGCAAGACATATGGAACAATTTAATGATGAATTGCTTGGATAAGGCAACAGAAAAACATGATAGCCTGGAAGTGGCCCTACCTGAGTGAGAGCCTGTCAAGATATGTTTCACGGTTCACAGGGAGCCACTTGGGGAACTGATCCAAAATCCAAGATATGGCAAACCAGATCTCACATATGACTGATATCAACCACAATGCATATGCATTGGGCACGGGATTCGTTATACGGTAATGCAAGAAAATGCAGAGGATAACCAGCCGCAGAACAATGACCATACGGTATGGATTAATCCTAGATGATGGGATAGAAACCTTCCTTGAAAGCGGTTGTCGAGCTTCATCATTCCTACAACACAAAAAGATAGATCAAATACTTTTCATGCACGGAGATTTGAAGACCTGAGTTTGTTTGAATGACTTTACTTAATGGCAAAGCAACAAAAATCAGTTGATCTGATATAAAGAATACATGTGGTCAAGACAATTAGTTTCTAACAACGACCAACAAATAAAGCATAAGAGGCTGAGAACAGAAGCAGGGCTGCAATTTTCTTATGGTTTATTAAAAAGGGCACTCACAGCAAGGAATCATCCATAAGCACATCAGTACTGGCATCAATATCTCCTGCTCCTCTTTCAGAAGCAGCCTGGCCAGTGCTCATTGGAGCAGCATTCTTTTCCTGCTTCATCTTCCAGCCATCAACTCTTTCTTTCCATGCCACATTACCCATTCCTGCATCCATGCCCCGAATATTTGCTGCATGAGGAGTATAAAATCTCCATAAGATAACTACACGAAGAAACATAACAAGGCATAGACAACAAATGAAATATGTACAAGGATGGAGGGTACAGAAAGAAAGAAAGACACGCACGTGATTGATTAATGTCTGATGAATATGTCAGATTATGGACCCGTTTGCCACCACCAATTCCAGGAGATGCCATCGAGAGCCTCTCAGGTGAGGCAGCTGACAATTCTCCTGAGACCTGAAATTGAATTTGAATCCCATTTAAAGCTGCTCAAGGAGAATGTGCAACTTTTTTGGGCAGACGAGTTTGAAAGAGAAAAATATCATTTGCCTAGCTGATTGAATTACCTCTTGTCCACTGGTTAGCAAAGGAATGTGGTTGTGAGGAACCTCTTTATCATACTTTGGAGCACCGACCTCCTCTGAGTGCCCATATTTCATGTGCCAGCTCAACATGCGCTCTGAAATCTTCTTTTGGCTTTGGCTTTGGCTTTCTGACTCATAGTCACTAGCACCATCAGCAGCAGCAACATCTTCCTCTCTATCTCCAACAACTGCAGGACTTCCTGAAACCAGTTCAACAGGCAGCAGTAAGTAGAGTCACAAAATAGAAGTTCTTTTTTAATATATGCAGTACATGACCAAGGAAAACAGAGGAGTCACTTCATCTAATACATGACGTATGCATGAGTGAATTATGTCTAACAAATAACGGTGAGAAATAAATTGAGAGGGAAAAAGTTCTTAAAGCCTATATTAATCTGATTATTTATGATTTGGTTCACTGGGATGCACTATGTGCACAGAAATTCCTTGGAATAAGTTAATCACTGGTAAGAATGCAGGAAAGGGACTTCCTTTCCTTTTCTTTATTCTTTGACTATGTTTACTGTCATCAACAGTTCCTCTCCTTCTTTTATAACTTTTATAAAGCAGAGACATGAAATATTTTTAATTTTCCAAATCATTTTTTAATCCCACTCTTTCCATTCCATTTCAGCACCTATCAAGTTTTAAGCACCTCGTCCCTTCCAGACCCCGTTTCGTCCTTTTTTTCATTAGACGGAAAGCAACATTCCAAATGTATTTGGTCAGAGCAACAGGCACAAACCCAATTACTTAAGTGGTTTGCACATCCTCCCTGCCTTAAATCAAGCGTATGGAATAGATAAGCATTAAAGATTTCCTTTTTTATGGGAAAAAATCCGGATCAATCCACGTAGAAGATTCAGTTTGAAAGGAAAAGGAGATACCCCTCACTAAAAATACAAGTAGCACACAAGATAGAGTTAAGATATCATACGCACAGGCCTTGTTTAGGCAAAATGATAGTAATGAAAAATTAAAGACACATATGTTAGGCGTAGAAGATCTTGAATAATTTAATTTATTATGTCGTATATATTATTCAAAATTTTTACATTTGGGAGACTATTGCTTGTTGAATTGATACTAAACATATTTTGCCATCACAGTCTCCCCCTTGATCTCTCTTATTCTCCCTTCTTCTCCTTCTCCCTTCCCCTCTTTCCCTTCTGCCTACATCCGATATATTCTAAAATGAGCGCCTTACATCGTTTTCATTTGGTTTAGAGGAAAGAGATCAATTCCCTACCAGATAAATTTCATATCATTTTTTTTCATTAGAAGCTTAATAAGCTATTGTAATTTGCATCATAAGCATGACAGCATTCAAATATATGAAAGACATGTTTTATCATTTGGTTTACCTTTGTGCCTTTTGTATCGGGTTTTACATTGAGGACAAGACTGATTCCCATCCTTCCTTTCATATTCATAGCATGGCCTGCATACAGGAAAAGCACAAACATCGCATGCAATGAATGGCTCCCCATCCACAGTCTTCCCAACATTATCACCACAGATCTGGCAGACTTGGCCACCCAACACTGTCATAGGCTTTCCCTGAGTATTAGAAAAGATATAACCAACAAAAGAAGGTTAGAAAACAATGCATTGCCGATGTGATCACATTTTCGTGTTCGTAATTAATAGAAACCGTAGAAGCACAAGAATAACTTGAACGTTTAAGGGAAACCGATGAAAAATTGAAAATTGGAAGGAGGAAGCATAGCTGCAAAATTGATGCATGCACTGTAAGGTTCTTCGATAACGATATACCTTTATGCAGTTCAGTATCACATAATTAGATCTTTCCGAAGAAAAGAAAACTCCTATGAGTGACTGTAAGGTTTATATAAAAAAGATGATGATAAAAACTTAAAAGCAAAAGAACCTTGTATTTTTCAAAATTGAAATAGTGATGAAACTCACCCCTGCTTCTCCTTCTGACTCCATACCGCTTACTTATATTCGCCTAGAAGCCAATAAAGGATCAAACAGTAGCTCAAACTCAACAAGAATCAGACATCACTTAATATGGACAATCCTCACTAGCAGCTCGTTTTTCTCTGTGGAAACGAACACTCGGATCTGCACGAGACACCAGAGGATAAGACAGTAAATCAGATCTCCAGCTTCCGCCAAGCATTATTCAAAGTCAACAGATTGAAATGCTTTAGATTTCTCAAATTCCAGCGAAACTGCTCAGAAGATTTGATAGAGCTAGATTTTAAACTGCGAAATGTCCGTTGTATTGGAAAGAGGAAAAAATGCAGAGTCCTGAGCTACGGCAATGAAAAAAAACAACAATCGTTTCTTTGCCTCGATGTTTTCACGAGATCAATAAACATTGAACGAAAATCTACTAATAAAACGACGTTCGATACGTCAAAATTTAAATCCGGTTTTCATTTTCTCAATTTCCGCAGCAACCAAACAGACCAATATCAATCGACATTTACCTCAACAACGGCGATCTACACCGCCAATGATCAGCAAAACAGATCGACCACTCGAATTCCAAACAAACTGATCAAAATCAACGCAATGGATCTCGCACTAGAAGATCACAAAGACAGAGATAGAAGCAGAAGCAGAATGATCAACGAGAATTCAGAATGCAGTAACAAGAGATCGAGTTGACTGAAAGAGAAGCAAAACAATAGAGAAAGAGAAAGAGAGAAAGAGAGGGACGGCTATTGATTTCTCTCTCTTTTCTCTGCCAGAGGTTGGAGGCTTGGGCGGGCGAATGGCTAGCTGGAAATATATATATAAAATAAGAGGAAATCACTTAAGGAAGACGAAAGGGACAATGTAACTACTAAGCTGAGGCCTCCGACACCACCGACAGTTGAGAAGAGAGTACACAGTGAGCTCATATCAAACAGATCTCGTAACGTAACTTTTGGCCACTAAAAACCAGATCCCATCGTCACTTCAATCATTTTTATTCCCTTCCACATTGCTTTCACCAAAAGTTCCCCCCACCCCACACCAACGTTTACATTAGCATAAGTGACAATTTCTGGCTGGCAAAAAAAAAAAGTGACAATTTCTGTAAAAACTTTTGTTAAAATTACACAAATTTTATTTAATAAAGATAAGAGTCGTAATTAGTATATATATCTAAAAGAGTTGGTATAAAATGATAGAAAGTCCTTAGAAGTGATATGGATGGGTAAACAAAGTCGTCCAAGGCGTTGATAAGAAAAATAAATTAGACTATATGGAGTCTGAATATTCTAGAGATAAATAGAGGAGGATACTAAGTAAAATTATTGAGCATGATTTTATGTTAATACTACTTCCGGTCCTAATTATAAAATCTCGTTTGTAGTTTATAAATAAGGTATTCTGACTGAAGATAGTAATTTATTTGTAGCGAGACGAGGCTATAAATCTCGAACTGGATTAGCCGGATGATGATATAAAAAAATATCTGCATATATATAATGGTATACTGCAGTTTATGCAGCTGATCTCACTTGGTGATATAAGGCTTATGAACAAATTTTAATTAGTGACGTGAAAAAAGAGATATTTTTCTCCCCGTCTTTTTTACGAGTCTTCCTTCATTCGTAACAAACAACAAAAAAGACCTTGAATTATAGATGAATATTTTAATATGTACGCACAAATTGTATAATTTAACAAAAATAAAAATAAAAATAAATAATTATTTGTGATTTATTTTTTCAAACAAAGTTGCATACATTTTGATAATAAAATAATTTTTATATAAATTTTGTTGTTTATAACTAGCAAACTTTGTCCATACGGTAAGTTGTCAGTAATTGAGTGTTTAGGGTTGAAAGACTGTTAAATGAAATATAATATTCACATAAGTTACATATATAGAAAATTAAACTTATATGGTAAAAAAATACATCCCTCCATAAAAATACTACTTTACCTGCATCTAATTTTACTAAATTCGATTAAAAATGCTATATATCTTTGGTAAAAAGATTTATACAATTTAAATGAAATGTAATCATTATTGTATAATAATAACAATATGTTACGAATATTCATGTATAACAGAGCGATAGTATAAACATTATGATAATGAACATGATTTTTAAATCATTTTAGTCAATAAAAAATAATAATTGGTTATTAGGAGAAGTTTGGTGAAAGAGACAAGTGGGTTGACAAGTCAACAACAGCTGGAACAGAGACAGCATTGCCATAATTGATGTTCTAATGCGCTTCGGGTGAGCGCCGAAGACAAAAAGTACTACTTGTAAAATTATTTATGCTTTTTTTAATCATACTTTCTTGTAAAATTATTTCAATGGGATTTATTTTAGAAAAACCCAAGATTTTACAAAAACTATCGAATAATAATAAAGGAGTAATTGCTTTATCTTTGGCCATAGACGGTGGACGGAGGGGTTGTTATTTGCAATATAAAATCAAGAAGTTAAAAGAAAAGATTCCTTTGGTTTAATTAATCCGTCATTTTAATCGTGGCACAATTTAAAATATCTAAAGCTAATGATGACATTATTTATTTGAATAAACCTTTAATACAAAATTTATGTGTTGAGCATTTTTAATAAAATAAATTTTCCCTTAATATTAAAAAATTATTTTGTTTAATAGTTAATTATGTATAAGTACTTTTCAATTGAATCCCTTACAGATAAAATTGATATCAATAATCATTTTATTAATGTACTGAAAATTGAATTATTTAAATAATTCGTTTACGAGAAATTAATAAAAAAAAGAATGTAAGAAAAATTTAAAATACATTGAAACGGAATTTTCTCCTGTTTGAGTAAATTTTATTTACTTTTTGTGTGATGATGACCTTTATATTTAGTGTATCATTATAAAGATCTCATCATATGGTACAAAAGTTTAAAACTAATTTGCACGTAAATTTTAGATTTAGACCAACAAGCCAAATTATTTGTATAGGCCAGTTCTTCATTTCAATAGAATCTCTGGATATCATTTAAGACAATTTATAATTTATTCATCATCATCATCATCATCATCATCATCATCATCATCATCATCATCATCATCATCATCATCATTTTATGAAGTCGTCGTCATCATCATTTTTATTGTTAATATTTGGTAGTAAATATCTAAATTTTATTTCTATCGGATGAAGTCTAATTAAATTCCTTCTTATTTTGAAGTAATATATTTATACAAATGTATTGTATTTTCTGGCTAAAATAAAACATTCAATCATATAAGTAAGTAGAGAAAATATCCATACAATTTAATTAGAGTTCCTACCAAATATAAAAGATTTGTTAATATAAGAGCTGCTTAAATAATTTAGATAAATTAAAAAAATCAAATTAATTAATAATAACAAATACATTATGATTTCTTTGTAATATTTTTATATACATTAAATTAGATATCAATTTATAGATTATATAAATTTTTTTGAAGGAAAATAATAAATATAAGAGACAAAATAAATTAAATTATTATATTTAGTATCAAATTCAGATTTCACATTAGAAAGTGAAGGGAGTAAAAAAAAAAAATAGTACATGTTAGCCTGTCTCCATCCACCGGTTGAAGTTTGAACTCCCAGTTGCTATAAAAGATTTGTCTTTAACCCTCGAAAGATATTGTTCAAATCAACATTGCGATTAAACGGAGCGTTAGTGCGTTTCGCTAATTAACAACGACATCACATGAACTTGACAAAAGTTTCGGTAAATTTTTTTTTTGGCCAAAACAAAAGTTTCGGTAAATTAAGTTCTAATATCTTATACTACTTCCAGTTCTAATTATAAGAGCTAATTGATTAATTTGAGGAGATTAAAAAAAAGTTAAGTTAATTATTTATAATAAATATGTGTTGTTTTTCTTAAAATATCCTTGTTAATCACGTGTACGTATTGGCTAAAACTACCATTATTAAAAGAACTACTTTAGAAAAAAAATATATAAATATGAGAGAGAAAATAAATTAGGGTCTTATATTTGAGATTAAAACAAAAATCAAATAAGGTTTTATATTAAAGACCGGAAGTAGTATAATATTAGGTCAATCAAATTTTAATTTTGATTCGTGTAGTTTTAAACCATTAGTGTTAGTTCTTATAATTTTATAACAATTATGTCCGAGTTTAACAAATGTTTTTGTATTTTTAATAAATTTTGATTTTGGTTCTTGTATTTCAACTTAGACCAGTCACTATGAAACTATAGAGATTAAAACCAATTATTTAAGACTATAATAATCAAAACCAAAATTCAATTAAATTGTAAAGACAAACAATAATATTAATCCTAAAATTTACCAATGTGTATCGTCCTCGTATAAAAAAATGAGGCCTTAATATTTTGCCACGGCAGCAAAGCTTGCAGAGTTCAAAATTTCAAATATAACAAATTAACAAGACTCATACTAAACTTTTAAGAATTTTATTTAATGTACTCTCTCCATTTGTTAAAAACCATCAAAAAGTCTCTTTCAATGATAGAAGCGGAATGAGACTATGAACAAGAATTCTTCCTAGTGAGATTCATCTCTTTCGTACTCAACTACCATGTAGTATGTAGCTTTATAACCTAACTTGCCCGCACATTTAATTGCAATACCGGACACTTGAATTTCTATCTTTCGTGAGATATGAGATCGGTCTTTACCAATTGAACTAATATTTATTTATTCATATTCTTAAGATTAATACTACTTTCTCTTGTATTTAATGTAAGAGTTTGTTGAATATTAGATATGGTTCTAAATATAATACCTCAATTTATTTTGTCTCTCAAATTTATAATATTTTTTTGAAATATTCACATTAATACTTCTAACGCATATGATTAAATAGAGTAGTTCAGGAAAGTCAACTTATATTTATCACAAACTAATCTAATTAGTTTACTTAATCTCTTCACATTAGTTATCCAACTCTTATATTAAAAATAAAAAATAGTACAACTTTAAGGATGAAGCACTTCTCCAAATTTTTTGAGAAATTGTGAGCAGTACTCTACGAGCAGCAATTCTCACATATACTTCCCAATTGCAATAGAGTGTTCACTAACAATGGCCTCTTTTCTCATGCTCATCTCCTAACTTGAGAGCTAATATAATTTAATTAATTTTCTTTTTTCAAATTAAAGGAACAAGCTTCAAAATCTAATGTTTTATGTGGGCTTTTTTACCGCAATGCTATAAACAGTAGAAAGAAAATGCCGAAAAGCTACATAATGGATGTTATTTTCTCAAATGCTACATTCAAAGTTGTTCTTGTCATGAATAACTTCTAAAATCGATCTTGGCAGGTGCAACTTCTTCAATATTTGCTTCATATCTTGATTTAAGTGCAATGAAAGTTTACTTTGGAGTGAACAACTTTAGAAGTTCACCACTCCAAGAACAACTTCATCACCCCATGTTCAGCGTCCTTCATCTCCTCTTTCCCCTCTAACACATGAAAATGATTAGATAATAATTTTGTAATCATTTGGACTAAAATTTATGTGCAAATAATTAGAGAAAAGTTTTAATGATTACATAATAATACTAGTAATAATTTTGAAATTATTATGGTATATTAAATAGAAAATGATTAATAAAAAATAAAAATTGATTTACCTAACAAATAGTGACTTCTGGTGCCACATCTTGTTCTCCTTCTCACATGTTGTGGTCGTTGTTGTATGTTCACTTCTTCTTGAGATTCAAGTGTCTTATTTATTTATGTA